AAGAAAAACAGTGGTCGTAGGAGTGAAAGTTTGACAAGATGGAATAAACAAAACGACGAAAGGAATACGCTCGTACCACCGGCTCAATAAAGATCAATCCAAACAAAGCTCGAAGAGAGTCGGAACAACCGTTCCAGAAAGCGGTTTCGATTTACAACCACTGAACTTCGTGCATCGCTACTAACCGATAAACCAGCGCCGAAACGGCTACGGGACTGCCGTAAATCCACTAAACCATTGTCTCGAATATCGAAGGAAAAGGGAGGCGTGGAGGGGAGGAAGGAAAGAAACCATCGAAAGAACGTAAAACGTCAAAGTATTACGAGTGAAAATAATCTTCCATTAACCTTCCATTTAAAATTTTCCTCCAATTTAAACGTTTAAGGAAGAACGAAAAAAGACAAGGAAAACTTTAAGGATTGATTTCACAGTTTCAAATATGATACGGGATGGTAAAAATTTATTTGTCTCTTATAGAGGGGTAACAATTCGATGTATCAACAAGAAGCATTTAGCTTTAAATGAAGAATTTATTATCATTTGTTAATCATAATCTTCATAATATTCATCACAATTAAACTGTAAAAATAAAAATTCCAAATTCAAACAAATTCTATTTATTCTCATTTTATTAATCACGGATATAAAAATATGAATTATCATTGAACATCGTCGTAAATACTTCCAATTAACTAACTTAACCAACCAATCGATTCAACGATTATATTTCGCGTGATTTTCAAAAACAAATTCTCCACAATTTCGATCTCCACCTGATGCTGAATATCTTAATAACCTGGTGGCTAAGTCCAAGTACCTGGCTGGCAAAAATAAAAGACCACCTTCCCCGTTTAAGGGAGGAAACAAAACGGAAACGGAGAGAAGCGCGTGGCGTGGTACAAAAACCTGCTCGGCTCATCCCTCTCGGGTAAAGCATCGAGAGCAGCTCATTAAAGCCAGAAGGGCCGTATCTATCCGGTCTAATTAAAAGCCACTCAAACACGAGGGAGAGAGGAGGAAGAGGGGGGCGATCAACCGCGACGTTTATTGGCGCGAGAGCTCAATCACGAAAGGGTCGACGAGGACGGATGACTCGCTTCTGGCACGCATCCACGTCTCTTCTCACGTGTCCCGTGAGACTTATTCCATCCCCCTTGTCTGCGCGCCACACTTGGAGGGAATGAATGGTGGCAAAGAAGAGGGCAAAGAGAGTTGTCGAAAATGGAGAAGAAAGTGGTGAGTTCGATTGAATGATTAGTAGTGAAATAGAAAAGGGAGAAGGGATGTAAAGATTGACGGTTAAGAAGACAAAAGGATGAAATTGATGGAAACTAGAAAGGAGGGGGAAAAATATGAGCAAAGGTTGTGTGGAATAGATGTATTAAAAAAGCAAAGTGGAAAGATAAGATGGAAAGAGAAAAAAGGGTACAAAAGAATGAGAATAGATTAGAAGGAAAACGGAAACACAGGGATGGAAAGGCGAGGAATCACTTGTATAATTCATGATACCATCCTAAGTGGTTAGTGATCCACGTTTCACTGCTCCCTGACCCCTCCAGATTCCAGCAGAGCTTGTACCATAGCTCTACGGCATCTCAATGCTGACCGACCGACAGATTAGCCCCAGGAAATTGCCAAACTTCTCGTCTCTCCGGTGGAAAAGTCGATTCCAAAAGTCGTTCCTCAAGCGGCCAGTTTCAACCCCCGCAGACTTTCTATTTGGTTTCCTCAAGACGGCCAACGATGGGACACCAGAAACTGTCTCTTAAATTAATGCTTCCTGAAACGATCTCTTTCCTTCTAATTTCTCTTTCTATTATCATTTGCTTTATTCTATTTTCCGGTTTTATTTTGTCTCTTTCCTTTTTTTTTTTTATTTTTTATGTTGATCGTGAAAAATATACGAAATATATTTATCAACATTGTGTGATAATTAAATTAAAATATAATAAATTGTTCTTTCCTAAATCGAAGATTAATATTGTAATTATATGTTCCAGATTTTTAAATATTTTTAAAATTATTTTATATTATATATAATATGTATATATAGTGTATATAAGAAAAATTATTGTTTGCCAATTACAATTTTATTTCATTGAAATGCATGTAATATAAAGCGTGTGACGAAATATTGAAAATCATTTATTCGACGAAAAATTTTAATGAAATCGTTTAAATTGAATTTTGATTTCGTAAAAATTAAAACGTGCAGATAAAAAAAAAAAATGGTAAGAAAGAAAGTTTCTACAGCACGAGAAAAGCGAGTTTTAATTAGAGTAGATACAGAAACGGTGATCTTAATGAATGTAGACGAAGATTTTATTGAATATCTTAATAATTTCAGGTAATTGTTTCTCCTTTTTTCTTTCCTTTCTCCGTCAATTAATCAGATCGATAAATCTTTCAATAAATCGTTTTTAAAAGAAGAAGTTGGAAAAACCATTATCATTTAAAAGATTGTAAATGATAAAACACGAAATATATTAATTATATATAATAATGTAAAAATTAATATTAAAATCAAATACATGCAAGAAACACCTCTTTTAATCTTTGCAATTGAAATCGATATATTTTATCGAACAAACGAACAAACAAAGGAAATAAAAAGAATATAACATCATCTCATAAAAAGTTAAGTTAAAAATTTTTATTAAAACAATTTCCAATTAATCTCTTCTTTATTTGTAAAGTTTACAATAATTTCACTTTTTTTTACAGTTCAATCAATCCTTGCTTTCCACAATTTTTAAAAATTTTCAAGTCTCGACCAGTTCAGCGTTCGTTCTATTCTCATTAAAAAACGAGATCCAAATCATCCTGCAATTCGGGGCGAGCAAACAATAACGGATTTCGAATTTTGGCGAGTCTATTAAATCGGAAGCTCCATTGTCGCTCCCTCGAAGGCGTCGTGGCTGAGGATCTTATGGAAATATTTTCTCCACCCATCTCGTGAAGATCTTCTTTTTAACGGAGAGCTTCCGCACCCCCTTTAATCGTATTACCGAACGTACAGACATATTTCCATTCCTGGAGCTGCTCAGTGCCAATTGGACCACGACTTTTCGAAATTTCTTTTTTTTTTCTCTGTCTCTCTCTCTCGATTTCTTTTCTTTCGTTTTCCCATTCGTCGTCTTACCTCGACTTTAACTTTAGTATTTCGAGGAAGAATGAGAGGATTATATTGGCAAACCTTCCTCGTATTGGCTCTCGTGTTTTCTTAGAATTAAGAGTGGAATGTTTATGGTAATTGTTGAATATCGAATTGCGATGTATAAGAGAGGTCTTCTTGAGATGAATAAAAGAAGGGAAAAATTAAACGATGGAAACGTCGAATTGCGATAATTCTTAATCGCGTTGAGTTTTCTTGAAATGAAAAAGAAAATTCGAAAGAGAAAATGGCAGAAAAAAATAATAGAGTTAAAAATTATTCGAGAGAGGGGCGAATTCGAAAGATATAATTTTTTATGTGGAAGTCTTTGTGGCATCGTTAAAAAGATTTGAAGAAAATTAATTTTTTTGGAAATGGAAACTACGTAACATAATTAAAGAACGTGTAATTAGAAACTGGACATAAAAGGACATGCATGTACTAAATAAAATAAAAATTTTTTCGTTACTCAATTGGTAATTTGTGAATTAAATTAATCACATAAATACTAAACGTTTTATTTTTTTTTATTTTGTACTTAAATATTTATACTTCATTTCATTACAAAAATATAAAGATGTTTTTCTAAAGCGAAGTAATTTTTCTACGTGAAATTCTCAAAAGCCATTTTTTCTTCTATCTAAATACACTTTTAAATATATACACTTTACGTATTCCTTTATTGGTATCTCTAAAATTTCAAACAAGTCTTCAAAATTTTTTCTTTTTATTTGAAATAATAAAAAAAATTCAATCCTATTCTATAAGATTCATATCCAGATTCACAAAATCGGAATCTTCTTTAAAAGTAATAATTTCTCGTAGCACGAATTGGTAGGAGGGAAACGTCAAACTGAGCAACGTTTCCTCTTTAACATGCACGCATTGAGGGGTGGAACGAACCATGATTCAACCCGAGGCGTATCCAAAGCTAAACAACCAGCCGGTGTTTCCTCGACATGTCGAGTTTCCTATAACACCACGGAATTATGAATCCAAATTCGTTGCGCAAACTCGGTTCGCGTCGAAACAACGCAACTGTACACAAATCTGCCATTCACTGTCAAAGATCTTGGTCCACGTGAAGATTTTACCGAATTATTACATAGTTGTTCCATTCCCTTCTTGTTTTTTCTCTTTTTGTCAGAAATTTAAAACGTTATTTGAAAGAAAGTTGTCAGAAATGCACTTATAAAACTCGATTAAAATTAGGAAAATTTTAAACCGCTATAACTCGGAAAATAATGACTTCCGGTCAATGAATGAAAGATCGTTAGAAGCGCGGAACCTTGCCCTTTAAAATGCTCTTTCATTTATCCCGATACGACTTCCGGTTCCCGAGATATCGTCGTGTAAAGAGAAGAGTAATTTTTAATCGTTTACTATCTGCATCCTTGCCCCGTACTCGGACCTCTCGCTCGCTCCTCGTCTCACCGACCTATCCCAAACTGCAGACAAGCGGCAGACGCGATTCCTAGAAAAACGTAGTAAGCATTTCCAGGAAATAATATAGGTCACGAGACCATTCATAATTCTTGCACTGTCTTCGAGCGCTATGGACACTTTGATTCTTTATATCTCGGCAACCGTTTGAGATATCGGGATAAAACAAAAAAGGAATTCAATGGTACGATTTTCTCTATTTTTTCAATAAGTTTCAACGACAAAATTTTCAATTTTTTTTTCACGTTTCTTACGCGAAAATTCGAAGACTCGTTTCAATAAATAAATGCAATAGTCTCTCATTTTTGTACAACATAGAGAAATTTGAACGTAGCATCGATAATTGATTACTTTCGTTCCATTTTTCCTACTAGTTACGATACACTGGTCAAATTCATTGTAGCGTCTTGTAAGTTGAAAAGCATAGGGACGATCGACGAAAATTACAAAACGAGTAATCGTTAAGGGGGACAAACGGAAGCGACCCTGGTAGATGGCGCGCGTATCGAAACGTGCACGAGGAATGGCGCAATTATAAGAATTGCCGGTACAAAGAGCAATTCAGACGAGGGCAAAGACGAATAAAATTTCTTCTCTCGCGACGGGAAAAGAAGAAAGGTCGTAAGTTAACGCACGAACGAACGGCTACGAAATGGGAGTCAAACGATCGTTTGAACTTCGTACGAAACAACAATTACGGAACAGTCAACGTTGTACGTTTCTCCGTAGATATTTCGTTGTTATTCAACATTTTCTCGTGGAATTTTGCCATTTATAAATACGTCGCAACTAGCATTGCTCTAACATTATCTGCGACGTAATGTTCTTGGCAATTCAAAACTGTGTTTTTATTGAAGAAACGAGCAAATTCTTGTTGATTAATTGTCGTCACGATGAAAAAGTAAGAATCAGCGATGTTAGTTTATTTAATTATTTAATTGTAGTGTATTAATGGAGTCTTGCATTGCATAAATAGAATATTTACACGTATAATACGAAAAAACCCGCGATAAGACAATAGAATTTCTTTATTATTTATTTTTAATTAATTGGAAATACATTCGAAAAGAAAACAAAATGAGAAAGGCAGAAGAATGAAGGACAATAAAAGTATTTCAATTTTTTTTTTTGTGGTAATTGAATACTATTTTTTGAATGAAATATTATATTCATTTCTTTCATTCTTCTTTTCATTTCTATAGTTACAAACTCTTTGATATGATATAATAAATTTCCTTAAAAGAAAGAAAGACTTACGATTGTACAGTTTATTCGGGGTTCGAACTTCGTATACGTGGCGTTAAGTAACCAGAACAAGTAATTATTTCAGTATAAATTATAACTTGCTGTTACGAATGTTTTGAATCTGAATTCTTGACGTCTAATTTCGTAATTAATCGGTTTAACATTTCCTGTTACGGTTTGTATAAATTTTTCACCATATTTCATCATTATAAACAAGTTTAAATAAATGAAAAAATAATATATTTTATGATAGACAGATTGATCAAATGATAATTTCCTATATGATATGATGCAAATATATTATAATTTTAATATACGGATATAATAAATGTTAAATTAAAATGTTAAAATAAATGTTAATAAAAAAATAATATTACGAGAAATTTTTAATCTGAAATTAATAGTAGATATCATGCGTTCAAATGAATTAATTTCATTCTATTGTCTCTTTGCATCTTTTCTTTCGATCTTCTCCGAAATAAATTTCGTTATTTTTCTACTTATTGGCGCTGATTTTCGTTGAAAATTTTGAAAGACTTTCGTGTATTTTTTAATTGGATATCTTTAAACATTTGAAACGGACAATGACTTAAAGAAAGAAAAAAGAAAGAAATCGATGCAATAAATACGGTAATATGTGGGAAATTTACATTTCATTTATAATACAAATCCGTTTTTTTTATTTGCAAAACTATACAATCAAAAATAGTATTTTTCAAAAATATGAATTATTTATACTTGTTTATACTATAGATTCTTCATATATAATTTTATAGATAGAATATTTCCGTTTCTATATTTTATATTCGTATATATATTTTTGGAAAAGGGCGAAATTTCCTGAAGATATATCATAAAAAGGTAAGTATTCCATAGAAAACAGCATATAATTAGAATAAGATGAAAAAAAATAGCAAATAATATTTCTTATCAATGTGTCAGAGCAAAAAAGTATGTAAAGCAGTAAGTATGTAAGCAAATAAATTTTTTTTGCAGTTACAAAAGATACACCATAAAAAGGTAAGTGTATAAAAGGTAAGCATAAAACACAGTAGTTATTATAATTAGAATTAAGTAAAATGATGAAAAAATGACAATTAGTATTTTCTACCAATATCTCAACATAGGTAAGTATAAAAGGTAAGTATAAGGTAAGTATTAATTTCAAAAATTATCATATGTTTTACTTCATATTCTACTTTATTCTCCTAATAAAAAATCAAATATCAAAATAGAAAATTTTCTAGAAATCAATTTCATATTAATAAAAGAATTTGGAAGCAGATGTTACACAGTATTTACAAAAGTAAATGTTATTTTTTTAAATAAAACTATACATTTTTTTTAATACATCAGTAGATGTCTCTTACCAGTCTTTCTAACAAAGTATTAAGTATATATTAACAAAATAATAGTTTCAAAAATAACCAATTTTGTTTAAATATCTTCTAAACTAATGGTTTTTTGCTATACATGGTCAAGTACTTTTTTATAGAAAACACTACGATACATCTACTGATGCTATAAAAAATATAGGATTCTATTTAAAAAAATAAAGTTGTGCTTGAGAAGTTTTTTATGGGGCCACCTACGAAAAATATGAGAATACCAAAATACAGCCCTTTCGAAATCATGAAACGTTTATTCAAAACGTTTTTCAATATTGTTAATAATAAAGAAGATATTTAACAAAAAGAGTAAACAAGAAAATTCCCGGGAAGGAAGAAAAATTTTTGTCCAAAAATGCGACTTTTTATTAGGAGAACATGACATGATAGGAGGTCGATCGAAGAATTTTTCCAAGAAATGACGTCAAATTCTCGGAATCCCTGAAATTCTTAGAAATGACGTCAAATTCTCGGAATCTCTAAAATTCTTAGAAATGACGTCAATTTTTCGGAATCCCTACGATTCTTGGAACTGACGTCAATTTCCTGGAAATTTCCAAATAAGTTGAACGAAAGAAA